CCTGCACCCCCACCCCACCCCAGCTCTTCCGCTGTGTAGCCTGTCTGTGTCTCGTGCACAGAGTCAGCCATCACAGAGCACAAAGGGGTCCTTCATTTTTTACTTTTGTTTAATTAATGCATTTATTCTTCACTGTATTTACTTTATTTACTGTAAATACTTCTTGATTGTTGGAGGTATGACATGTCCCCTTTCCCCCATTGGCTCCCTGCAAGTGGGGTCCTTTAAACCCCATTTCCCTCATGAACCGGTGGTAATAACTGTGGGAACGGTGACCAGGGTGGGCCCTCGGACCATAGCCCCAAATGGAATAGACACCACTCGGCCAGAAAAGATGTTTTTCAGGTCATTAAATCTACAATCATGCCTAAGAAATTAAGTAAAAGGATGCTAATTCTGGTGAGTGTGGAGGGAGGAGGGACCTTCTTGCACTCTTATCTGGTGGCATAAAAGGAGATTGTATTGTTTCAAGTTCAAACTGGTTTAGACAGTTGATGGCGTATTATTTGATCTTAAAGATCTTTTGAATGAATTATTCTTATGCTTTTCCTTTATTCCATCTCAATCATGTATATCTGTTTCCTCAGGGCCCACTGGAGGCCAAGCACTCTTCTAGATAATTTTCTTAATTTTGACATTGTCTGTCTCTCTAATCTTATTTTCCTTTGTCTCTCCACTGGTTTTACTCATAATTTATCAAGTAAAGGCTTTAGGATGAGCTCTACACCTTGGGCACTGTTGCTCAGTGGTTAGAGCATCGACCGAAGTGCCACACGTTCAATTCCTGGTCAGGGCGTGTGCAGGAGGCAACCCATCGATGTTTCTCTCTGTCTCCCCCTCTCTCCTCCACTCTCTCTAAAAATATCCTCGGGTGAGGATCTATAATCAAAAAAGGGTAATACTAGTATGCTAATTAGACCGGACATCTTCCGGACGTCATTCCGGACGTCCTTCCTGACGAAGCTGGGGCCTGGCAGGAGGACGGAAGCCCGGGTCCAGGTGCAGGAGGGAAGCCGGTGCCGGCAGCCGGGGGAAGGAAGGCCGACGCTTGCACGAATTTTCATGCCTCGGGCCTCTGGTTAACAATACAAATGTTTCAATCTGGAGAGAACAAGTTGAACCCAGAAGACCTGGTGGGGGGAGGCAAGGGCCGGAGGCATGCACAGGGGAGGAGCAAGGGGAAGGCCGGGACTCCCCAGCGAGTGGGGAAGGTCCGGTCAGTCACGGTCAGGAGGGAAGCGGGTGTCCAGGCCGAACGTGTGGGTCTCAATTCCGCGGGGAGCATTCGTACCCCAGCTTAGATTCTCAGGCGGAAAGTTACGCCTTCTAAGAGGCGAGCAGCTCTGCCCTGGCCCGTGCAGCTCAGTGGCTAGAGCGCGGGCCTGCAGACCAAAGGGTCCCGGGTTCGAATTCCGTCAAGAGCATGTATCTGGGTTGCAGGCTCCATCCTGGCCCTGCATGGGGCGCGGGCAGGAGGCAAGAGATCGGTGCGTCTCTCTCATGTTGATTTCTTTCTCTGTCTCTCCCCCTCCCTCCCACTCCCCCTAAAAGTCAATGGAAAGCCCTGGCTGGTGTGGCTCAGTGGATAGAGCGTCAGCCTGCGGACTGAAGGGTCCCGCCAAGCCCAGTCCGGACGGGACACTTACCCAGCAGGTGCAGCACGGACGTGGCCGCCGCCTTCCCCAGCGCGCTGGAGGCCCTGCAGACGTAGGTGCCTTTGTTTTGCCGGGAGACGTTCTGTAGCAGCAGGGACCCATTGGGGAGCACGGAGATGTTGTCCCCCAGCGGCCCGCCTCTCTTCACCCAGCTCACCGTGGGCCGGGGGACGCCTGTGGGATGGAAGCAAACAGGGCGCAGGTAGATAGATGCCTTTAAGAACAGGCCCACGGCAGCCGGCGGCTCCGTGGCTGAGCGTCGACCTGTGATCCAGGAGGTCAGGGTTCGATTCCCGCTCAGGGCACAGGCCCGGGTTGGGGGCTCGATCCCCAGCGGGGGGCGTGCAGGAGGCAGCCGGTCCATGATTCTCTCTCATCATGGATGTTTCTCTCTTTTTCTCCCTCTCCCTTCCTCTCTGACATCAATAAAAATATATTTTAAAAAATAAAATGAGATGCAGGAAACATTTTAAACGTATTTGTCTAACCTCAAAAACGGGCTATTTCCCCCAACGCGATCAGCTCTGACTCAACGCTCTGTTGGCTGAAGCTGAGACTGTTTGTGGAGGGCGCGTGTTGGGGGGTTGGGAAGAGTTCAGATCTGGCTGGAAAGTGTGGGGGGCACAATGTCCACACCTCTGGGGTGTCTTTGAAATAGTCACTGTAGCCCTGACCGTGTGGCTCAGTGGATAGAGCGCCGGCCTGCGGACTCAAGGGTCCCGGGTTCGATTGCGGTCAAGGGCATGTACCTGGGTTGCGGGCACATCCCCAGTGGGGGGCGTGCAGGAGGCAGCTGATCGATGTTTCTCTCATCCATGTTTCTAGCTCTCTGTCCCTCTCCCTTCCTCTCTGTAAAAAAAAACAACCCAATAAAATATATTTAAAAAATAAAATAAAATAGTCACCGTTCAAGAACAATTTCCCTTCATTCTTGGGAGCCCCACGAAAAATTCCACACTGTAGCCCTAGCCAGTGTGGCAAAGCGGGTAGAGCGTCAGCCTGTGGACTGAAGGGTTTAAAAAATACAATAAAATAGTCACTGCTCAAGAACAACTTCCCTTCATTCTTGGGAGCCCCATGAAAAATTCCACACTGTAGCCCTAGCCGGTGTGGCAAAATGGGTAGAGCGTTGGCCTGTGGAACGAAGGGTCCCGGGTTCGATTCCGGTCAAGGGCACAGGCCCGGGTGTGGGCTCCATCCCCAGTGTGGGGCGTGCAGGAGGCAGCCGATCCATGATTCGCTCTCATCATGGATGTTTCTCTTTCTCCCTCTCCCTTCTTCTCTTAAATCAATAAGAATAGATTAAATAAAAAAGATTTCATGGGCAAATGTATTTTTCTGGAGAGAGGGTCCTTTTTGGGGGGGAAGGGGGCGGCGGTGAAGGGATTCTGACCAAGACCTCGAATCACAGCCACTCACATCCACTATATGATGAAAACCCACAT